CCACGAGGACCATCCAACCCTCTGCCATGCACTCCTGACAGATAACAATCCGGCCTCTACTTAAAAACTTCCAGAGGAGATCATCTTCTACTCTAATGGTCATCTTCTACTCAGGTTTTAGTTGACACCTTGAGTTAATGCAGCTAGAGAGGGGGAGAAGTTAAGGCAGTCCTTAACATTTGGTTCTCCCCTCACTTCAGCTTCTTGTGATGGGAAGGTTCCAGATCTTACTGCTTAAGAAGAGTATCCCTGATACAATTTGGTTTAGGCAGAAATGAAAGGTCAGTTTGAGAAAATTTGCCAGATGACAGCAGACTTTCGTTTATGATAGTAAAGTCCTGAACGGAGTCATATGTAAGGGCAGGATTCCTACTTTCTTACCATCAATATGCAAACTACTATAGATAGTCAATACCATTTGTAGCACCAGTAATTTGATATACACACTGACATTTTCATACAAAACCACTTATTTTCCCTCTTTTCTTCTCTTCAGCCCTGCATTCCAATGAAAAGAACCTTTTGAAAACTCATTCAGCTCTAAAGCACTTTTGGGATAGTTTTTCATTGCCTGTAGTGTTTAGTTAACTTGCAATCCAAAACTTCTATGTCAGAAGGTTCCCTGGCATCACTTCTGTTTACTTTCTGGCAGGTTTGTCACTTCAGGGTCAAAATAGAGCTTATTCAACCCAAGCATATAATAGCAACAGTATCAAGCCTTAGGTCAACTTCACCCCTTGAGACTTGCTGCAGGGCAAGTCATTTTGGAATTCATTCTGTGCTTTTGGCACATACCCTGCCACAGTTAAGGAGAAAAAATGTGTACTGAATGCTGCATAACAAAAGTAAATTTATTGAGTTCATACATTTTTGAAATTTGTATACATTTCTGGTTTGTCTGGAGTAGTGTGTTTATTATTTTCACTTTGCATAGAAGGGGATTTCATATCTAATAGGTTTTGTAAATTGTTAACAACAATGAGTTTTTGACCCTGTAGATGTACAACATGATCAGTATTTATGAACTGTTCCAGGCATATGACGTGTAAAATAATTGAAGTACTGAGTTTATGTGCTTATATGAGTTTCCTTCCTTTTATCAGCACAGCCATCTTTCACTGCAGAGGATTTCTAAGTGTTATTTCCATTTGGACAGATTAGATAATAGGTAAACTGTGGTCTGAAAATACATGCTATGTTATATCTGGGTAAAAGAAAGAATATATAGATTTGTAGTATAGTTTTGAGGTAAGTATTGTTAAGTACCTCTTGGGAATAACTCTTGCATATGAAATACTGATTATAATTTTCAAATTCAGATAGTTTGAAGAGATAAAACATAAGGCAATGGAATTTAAAATGACTCTAGGTCTGTTAATGAGTCTAAGGATCTATAGAGACAACATTATTCAGCTAACCTTAGCATACAAATACAGTAAATAAAATACATAACTTTTACAAGACCCTATCAAGCAAAGAGGAAGAAACACTTGCTCAGGACATTGCCTCTCTCTGGTCAGCCCCAAATGGTTGAGATAGTTATATGTGTTCTATCCCCCTAAGTTAAACAATCACCAAAATCTGTCTTCTGATCCTTCACCTTTGGAAGTGATGCATTGATTTGTTTATCAGTGTCTGACATTGGAGAAGCCGGAAACAACGTTTTCCTTCCTTGTCCCTCTCACTGATTGGACTAGCTCCTCATCTATGTAGCTTTGGCTTGTCCTTGCTATCATGTGGGGTTGGTCATCTAAAGTGTACTTATTTTGCTTCTCTGATATGTTTTGCGCTATCTTGCTGTACATTCTAAGAAAAGTAATATTTTCCCTCTTTTCTTCTCTTACGTTTTCTGCAATCCATAGAAGATATTCCCAGTTGCCTCAATTTTTCATCCACGCTAAAGTTGCTGGTGCCTAAATAAAGAACTACCTTTCACCACTGACTTGCAGTAGTATATGTACAAATACCTTTCAAAAGTATTTAAAGTAATGTATTTGAACTTACTTTTGGAGTTAAGGGTAAAATGAATATTGTGGGGCAAATTACAATGAATTTATTCAATTTTTATTTTATTGTTAGGTAGAGTTGGTCTTTGTTATCTTCCTTAATCCTTTAGCATGTGCTGTATTAAAACTAAATATAGAAATTTAGTTTAGTTTTGGCCCCTGCCCAGTGAAAATCTTTTGTGTTTTAATAGTTGATTTTATATTGTTGTGTCGTTTATTATATTGATGTTCTATTTTATGTATTTTATTTTCTGGTTTTGTTATGCTTTTGTTTTATATTGTGTGTATTGTACTGATGGGCATGGCCTCATGTAAGCCTCACTGAGTCCCCCTGGGGGAGATGGAGCAGGGTATAAATAAAGTATTATTATTATTATTATTATTATTATTATTATTGTTATTGTTATTATTATTTATGTAACCCCAAGTTTGCATTAATGCAGTACTTAAGTTATAGATGGTATATCTAGAGCAGGACTACTTAAATCTTTCTGCTTGCAGCCCCTTTTTACATTTTTACATGACCCCAGTTATATTTGTAAATAAAATAGGTATAAAAACCAAACATTTACTCGCAATAAATCAGTATTTGTAAGGCTTGCTAAATAGGCTGATTTTTTATGAAGTACAACTGAGGCATTTTCTGCTGAGTCTACTGTAAAAACTTAACATCGTTGCTAACAGTTTTAGTAAATGTCTAGGTGACATTCAGAAACCTTTTACTTTTGCCAGATTTTTCACAACCACAACATTGAGCTAAGGGGACTCCATTTGGGGCTGGGACCCACAGTTTAAGAAGACATTATCTAAAGCAGTGTTTCCCAACCTCTGGAATTCTAGGTGTTTTGGATTTCAACTCTCTGAAATTCCAGCCAGCTTACCAGGTGTTAGGAATTGTGGGAGCTGAAATCCAAAATACCTGGAGGACCAAATGTTGGGGAATCACTAATCTAGATGACTTCACTGCTGACAAAATGGATAGAACAAATCTCTATTATACCACGATTTTAAATAAAGCTGAAAAGTAAAGATTCGGACCTAAACTGCAGTTGAGACTATGTTAACTGGTAATGTTGTAAAATGCTTCATAATCTTCTTTGCCCTTCTTCAGCTCCATCATGCAGCATCAGATGTATTCTGAACTGTGCTGTGTTAGAACTTTGCTTTGTCTGCAGCCTGACCCATATTGTGTGATGCATCTTGGATAAAACTGTTCAGCTGCAGATACGCAATTTGTTTTCCACCAGAAGTTAGCTGGTAGTTGGCACAAACAAATTTTGTATCCTTTATTGTTGTTATGTTTGCCTCAGTGATTCTTCACTCTCAATGTCTGAGATTGTGGAAATCTAACTGCTTTACTGTTTTCATAAAAAAGAAAATGATTCAGTGAAGTATAAACACTTAGACCTCAGGGGAACAGTTATACTGGGTGCATGTTTCTAACATGCTGTTTTGAGATAAGCATATCTTAAATTAACTCACTACTCGTAGTTGTACTCTTCTAAATGGCTGAATTTTTGCTGCTATTGTGAAGGTCTGGAAATCTAATTTATATCAAAGTTATTTGCAAAGAAAAATAAGGAATAGTTGTAATTCTTAATCTAGTGCTGAATAATCTTCAGTTCAAAGGAATGTAGGCACATAGAAATGCTACAGAGTCGCACAGTGTCAGTTTTCACTGGCACTTAACCAACTAGCTTACTTTGCCACCTGCACTGGGACAGCAGTAATTGGAGCCTGTGAGCTGGTGCTAGGGGAGTTTGTCTATTTTCTTTCTTTCTTCTTTTTCTTTGCAAAGTATGGTGCTTTAAAATTTTACCTGTTTGATACAACAGCCAAGAATGTTATAATTCCATGGACTTGAGCTGTAATTGGAATGAGTTCTCTTTACGATTACTTGTTGCAAATTTGAAGTGAGGTTTAAAAAACGGCTTAGCAGTTAGTATCATACTTTCACTGTTTCATTCTCTCCAAAGACCATATTTAAACCAGCCTTTCCACCTTTATTCCCTCCTAGATGATCTAGTAAATTTGTTCTGTGGTTGCAAATCAAGGAGTATTTTTTTTCTATAACCGTTTTCTTGGTTTCCATGAATTCAGTCAGTCTTTCACTTCCACTGAGTGAAGGCAGGGTAGATTTTTTTTCAAAGCCACCTTTTACCTGTCCTTTCTGTGCTTGATAAATAAAAGTTGAATAAAGATCTGCCAGAGTGGTTCCAGAAATGGACCTGCGGTAACAAAGGGATTTTAAGTGAACTACCTGCTGAAATTATTTTCAAACTTGACCTCAGAAAAACAATCATTTCTGTCTCTCTCAGTATGTATATTATATAAAAACATTTTATCCTTAGTTTTCAGCCACATAGTTCTCATGAAAAGAAGGTGAAGTTATGATAAGCCTCTGGATAAATGTACATATCAGGGCAGTGAGGCAAGGTTTCTGCCTTTTTTCAATTGATAGCTTTTTCAAAAGRTTGTAACATTGTGAAATCAATATACAGGCAGTCCCCAGGTTACAAACAAGACAGGTTCTGTATGTTTGTTCTTCAGTTGAATTTGTATGTAAGTTGTAATAGATATTTGGGGGGGGGGGAGGTTGGATAGTATAGGGAAGGGTTAAACACTTGTAATGTTTGTTTTGCTGGGTGTGCCCCTGTTCAAAAGATTTCACCTCACTTTCTGTGATAATTGGATTTTGAAAAAAATGGCTTCTTGTCAAAACAAGGATTGGTGATAAAGCTTCAGTGGAGACACATTTTCCCCATGATAACTCTTTCAGGGGTGAATTTCCCTTCCTAGCAGTAGAATTTTCTCACTTCCTGTTGTCCCACCTCCATTTTTAACTATGAGTCTTTTGTAAATCGGATGCTTGTAACTCAGGGACTGCCTGTATATACATGTTCCCCCAAAAATTGGATTAACATTTTTTCATTGAAATTCATGTAAATATTGGAAGAATCTATGTGAGTGTTGTACAACTGTTTTCTCTTATAGATCATCACTAAATATGTATATGAACTACTAGAAGAAGAATGCCATTTGAAAAAAGTGCTTATTCCGGTAAGTTAAATATATGATAATATTCCTCAATAACTTAGAAATAGGAGAAAGATTTCAGATAGTCAGACCCACTTCATCACAAGAGCTGAGTCTTATGCACGCCCACAGGATAGTAAACCCAGCTGAACAGAATCGAACCTATTTCTCAGATAAATCTAAGAACTCCAGTAAATAGGAGCCCATTTAAACTGCCAGGCCACATACTATACTCACTGAGCATCTTTAGAACATGCTTGGTAAATAACCAAGCAGCTTTTAAAGATTCTCAGTGAGTGTAGTATGTGAGCTGACAATTTAAATGGGAAAAACAGAAAACCGGGCTGTGGGAAAGGTGTTGTCCTGGAAGAATGAGAGTGTGTCTGACTTGCTGGAACACTAAAAAGAACCAATTGATTCACACTACAAAACTGCATATATTATTAAACATGAAAATAGGCCAAATTAATATTAAAAATAAATAATGGAAACAATCCTTGCAGGGGGATTTGTAGATTGTTTCAGCAAGAAAAAGTTGGGTTTGTGCTTGATCCTAGTATAGCACTGAAACACTTTTAGGGAGCAAGCTCTGAATACCCAAATCCACTTCTTAATAGCTGTTATAATAGAAAGTTTGTAGGGTTGTATCTATTGATTCTCTGAGGGGAAACAAACTATATAAAGATGCTTTGATCAAACAAGTCTAAGGACTAATTAGGTAATCATTATTTGCTTGCCTTCAGGTCTTTGTAATTTTTAAGATTTCTTTTATCATTCTATGACTCTACTCTCTATTCTGTGAATGAGAGTAAAATGAGAGCAAGATTACTCTTTTTTTTCTTAAAAAATTAAAACCTGATGTTTTCCTAAATATTTTAAGGTGACTTTCAATAAAATCAACTTAAAACAAGAAATAATTACCAAAGTTTAAAAGATTAAAATTATATTAAATAATTGAAAAAAGGTTAAACTGCTTAAAATAATCTTGAGTGATATAACTCTAAAAGATTTACAGCCTGAATAAAATCAACTTGAATGAGGGAGAGAGGAATAAAAAGTAATCTCCCCAGTAAAATAATGCTGTATGATATGATGATGTAATGGTCTTGGGTAGATAGCAGCTTGTTGTAAATTTGCTTTTTATACATAACAATATTAACATGGATTATTAGGGTTAAATAAAGCTCTGTTTTATAATCTGTTTTAAGCAATTGTTTGAAAGAACTCTAGGCTGTTCTAAACAGCCAATTGTGAAGATACAAATTGCCTTTTACAATCTCACCATAATGAAAAAGAAATTGTAAGCTAGATTGACTTGTCAATAAAGTGTGATTGGGCACTGGTGTCACCTTCTTATATATATCCTCTAGTGAAAGCTTCACTTAATGAAATACAGCAGTTTGAAGACAAGTTGGCTTTTTAAAAGTTCAAGTATAATTAAGGTAAAGGTTATTTCCAGAATTCCTTCGTAGAACTTTGATGGGTATTTCATTAAATATATTGCCATACATAGGTATTGATAATGACTATTTTTTATCCTGCCTGACTTCCCAAAACATTGCAGTTGGAGCCATGACTGGATTTTGTATCTAAAGTATTAGAATAATCTGGTAATTACATATAAAGCAATAAAGACTTACCCTACCCCAAAGATCTGAGGTCTTGCTGAGTGAAAATGTCATAGTAATAATTTGTTTTAATTGTATTTGTTTTAATTTTGTAAATCATCTTGTATCCTGAACAGGGAAAATGCATGATGATGATGATGATGATTCTTTTCTTAAAAGAGTTTTTTCATTGAATCCACAAAGTTTGCTTAAATCTTTATCCACTATGTTTTAAATTATTTAGTGGGTCTGCTATGGTTGGGACTAAAAATTATGAAATACTATGAAAAAATTGCAGCTGCAACAGACTCCATCATCATAGTTAGAATCATAGAATCATAGAGTTGGAAGGGACCTCATGGGCCATCCAGTCCAACCCCCTGCCAAGAAGCGGAAAACTGCATTCAAAGCACCCCTGACAGATAGCCTCTATTTAAAAGCTTCCAAAGAAGGAGCCTCCACCACACTCCGGGGCAGAGAGTTCCACTGCTGAACGGCTCTCACAGTCAGGAAGTTCTTCCTCATGTTCAGATGGAATCTCCTTTCTTGTATTTTGAAGCCATTGTTCCGCGTCTCCAGGGAAGTAGAAAACAAGCTTTGACATTCCTTTTACTTTCTTATTTATTTATTTATTTGTCTATTTCATGGAGGTACAAATGCCTATAGTACGGTTGAATAGAGAGGAATTCTCTATTTGCTTTATGGATTGTTTAGCAAAATGCTTTCTATGAGCACTTCAAAAGTTTCTAGTACTTCCTTTTCATTTACCTCCTTCTTTAGCCCTGGGCATTCTTAAATGATCCCCCTGGCTGCTCTATAAACCATCTATGGATGTTTATACCAGTTCCTTCCATCAGTACTTCATGTCATTAATATCTTTACTTGGTCTTTTTTGGATCATGAGTATAAGCAGTGGTTATATATTTGAGCATTCACACCAATTCTTCTGCATCATGTTTCACCTGCAAAATGACAGCCCATAAGAGAATGTAATAAAATTGTTTGTCTAATTATATCACTGACAAGGAAACATACAAGAGTTTTCTATAGGAAGAGTTTACACTCATATGGAAGAAAAAAATGTTAAAAACATTGTGCCCACAAGTTTGAAATCCCTAAGCCATTACTTTCAGCAGACTGAAAATAATTCTGTAACTAGTTTGTAATGAGCAATGTATTATGCTGAAAACTGTTAGTGGGTTTCACAAGTCCCTGTGATGGCAATTGGATACTTACGCACTTTTGGATGTTATTTCACGCATTGTACAGGAACAATTTGCAAATCTCATGTGCCTTGTTTCTATGATTGCTTGAAGTCTTGGAGGTGCTAGTGCTGCATGACCCTGTATCAGTAATTCATTCTTGGCATACAGCCTGAACCAGGCATGGTTTATTTATTCATGTGATAAATGCAGAATGTATTATTGCCCCAACCTTATTTTCCATCTTATTTATTTATTTATAACATTTCTATCCCGCCTTTCTCAACCCCAGAGGGGATTCAAGGCGGCTTTACACATAGGCAACCATTTGATGCCTTAAAGTAATGTACGGTTAAAATAAACTTTTAAAATAGAACTATAAAATGCATTTTAACATATAAAAACAATAACTTAACCATTAACTAACATGTTTATCCCTATGATACTGCACCTTGCTGATGGGAAGCTTCTTACTGACATGGAAATAATCTATTGGACAGATGGCAAGCTATTTAACCTCAGCAGACTGAAAGCCAAAACCAAGGTCACAATCGCATTTGTTATCAAACTCCAATATGCTAATGATAATGTAGTCTGTGGTCATTCAGAAGAAGACCTGCAAGCCACTCTAAACAACTTTGCAGAAGCCTACAGAAAGCTTGGCCTCTCGTTGAACATTGAGACAACCAAAGTGCTCTATCAGCAGGCACCAACCAATCCATCTGCAATGCCAGAAACACAGTTTAATGGTGTAAATTAGAAAATGTCGACCTCTCCACAAAAGTCAACATCGACACTGAAATACAACACCATCTGAGCTCTGCGAGTGCAGCATTTCTTCGAATGAGAAGCAGAAAGTGTTTGAGAATCAGGACATTTGTAGGGTTACCAAGACGCTTGTTTATAAACCTATTGTCCTCCCAACCATGTTATGCGCCTGCAAAATGTGGACCATTGACAAGCATCAATCTCAACTTCTAGAACGATTCCATCAGCACTGCCTCCAAAAATCCTGCAAATCTCTTGGAAAGACAGGCAGACAAATGTCACTGTGCTGGAAGAAGCAAAGAACACTAGCACTGAAGTGATGATCCTCTGCCATCAATTTTGCTGGACCAGCCATGTTGTCTGAATGCCCGTTCACTGTTTCCCAAAGCAGTTATTCTACTCTCAACTCAAGAATGGAAAACGAAATGCTGGTGGTCAGCAAAAGAGTTTTAAAGATTATCTTAAAGCTAACCTTAAAAACAGTGAAACTGGGAAGCTTTGGCCCTTGAGCGTTCTAACTGAAGGTCAGCTGTTACCAACAGTGCTGTGGAATTCGAAGTGGCACAAATGTAGGATGAAAGAGAGAAATGTCAAAAGGAAGGCACATCAAGCCAATCTTTGTTGGGACAGCCTTCCATCTGGAAAGTGATTTCCTCACTGCAAACGAACATTCAGATGAAGAATAGGTCTCTATAGTCACTTACGGCCCCACCACAAAGACTCTATACTTGGAAGGCAATCTTACTCATCCACGACTGATAGCCTATGATGATGAAATTCAGAATTATAGGTCTGTAGTGATGAAAGGTACCATCCAACCATGGTAATTCTGGTAATCCAGTGCTGAAATTTGCCTGACAGGTGCCCACCCAACACACACACACATATATACAGAGAGAGAGAGAGAGAGAGAGCTGTAATAAAAGAGTCAACATAGTCCATTTCACTATCATAGAGCTTGCACTGCAGACCCTTTAACCATCTTAATGCTCTCCTTTGTGTAGCTTGTTACTAATCTTAAAGTTCGGCATTCAGAACTAATCACAGCACTTCAGGCGAGGTATGTTGCTATCATAATGGAGTGATACCAAAATAGAGTGGTACTACAGTATTACTTCCCTTGATCTGGACATTATAGTTCTATTGATGCAGGCTAGAACAACTTTGCTTACTGCCTCATCCCTGTAACTAGAAATCATGTGGTCCTCCGCTCTGGCATAACAAAGAACAAACTTCATCCTTCTCTCCTGAAATATTTAAAAAGTCGCCCTTCATTACTCTCTTCACCAGGCTGAAAAAACCCAGCTCCTTTGTCTTTCCTCGTAATTTTTGTTCTTAAGTCATTTTTGTCCTTTTTTGAATTCACTCCAATTTGGCTCTGTCCTTAAAATGAGGCATCCAGAAGAATACACACTACTCCAGATGAAGCCTGATCAGTGCATAGGTATAGTGCAGCTATTATTCCTCTTGCCTTGAAAAATATGGCTCTCTTAATACAGACTAAAATAGTATTTGCTTTCTTTTCTGCATCATCATACTGCTGTCTCATGTTCAACTTATGATCAATAATAATCTCAAGGTCCTTTTCACATGTAGTACTGTCAAGTTTGGTTTTTGTGAATACTAATGTTATCTTTGTTTCTGTTGAATTTCATTTTGTTGATTTTAGTCCAGTTTTTTAGTTTATCGTCCTTTTCCAATGTCCCTATCTTGCAGTTTTAGCTACCCCTCCCCATTTTGTATCCACTGCAAGCTTGATAAGGATACCTTCCACCCCATCAACCAAGTAATTCATAAAAATGTTGAAGAGTAGTGGTCTTGGAAAAAGATATATGATTAGATGAGTACCTACTAATCTGTGAATTGTAACCAAGAAACCTGCAAATAGACTCCTGAATGAGCCACTCTTAATTTTTTTGTGATGTTGAAGTCAGGCTGACTGGCCTGTAGTCCTACAGATTTTTTTTTTTTGCCCTTTTTGCAAAAAGAGGCAATGTTTTCTTGTCTCCATTCATCTGGCACTTCACCCATTTCCTTTCTTCATGAACTCTCACCCCTGCTTGATTTCATTTTCTTTTAGCTTCTCTTGCCATGGGATTCTGCCCACTAGTTCCCTGAGCTCAATAAAATCAGCTTTTCTCAAATACAGGTTTGTGTTTGACTATAGTCTTCTTTGGCCTGACCAAAATTACTACACATCTCTGTGAAGTTCACAGGGTGAATGGGAAGTCACATTCATCCTATTTGTCTCTCAGGGTTGTTTTGAACTTAATCTCTGATCACTGCCCATGTAAGCTGGAACTGGTGGGAATCTGCTTGCTTATGCCTAAGGGACAGCTACAGGATTTACTGGATACAGTAAATCTATAGACATCTATATTGATGTTTAACCAAAGGTTTGTCTGCTGCTGCCTTAAGCAGAGTTTGCAGCTGCCCTTTCATGCTGATTTCTGAAGCTCACAGTTTTTTGTGGGTGAAAATGGGCCTATGTGCTTATTATATCACAATATGCATCTATATGACAATGAAGAATTGCTAGTGAAAGTGGACATGGTATATCAATAAGTGTAGTCCTACCAATGTTATGCAGATAGGCTACATGTTGTGTTCCAGGCAGTTAATGTTCCGTAGTGATGGTAAAGCTGTGTTTATGGTTGCTCCTTGGCATTTTGAACTTAATTGCTAGATGTGTGGTATACCTGGACACCACTGAGCTCAGAATAGCTTTTAGTTTGTAGTCCCTGTTCAACTATGAAGTGCACCGTGTGTGGCCTTGAGCAAGTCATATTCCCACAGTCTAACCTTCCTCGGGATGTTGTGAGAGTAAAAATACTGCTCTCAGTGCTTTGCAGGGAGGACAGGATACAAATGTAAGAGATAAACAGTACAAAGCGAAATACCTACCGGGAGTGATGATTTGAAAATGGAGTGTTTGCTCTGCCAGTGGGCATTAACAGGTTTGAGAGTAGATTGACACTTTACCAGCAGTGAAAGCTAAGCACAGTATGTTACAAATGTTCTAAAATTGTGTTTGTGGGTATTTTATTTGTCAAACTCCAGAGCCATATAATAATCTAACTGCTGATAACAACCATTACATTGTCTGAATAAATTACCTGAGTACTTTTAATGAGTGTTTGGTTTGTTTTAATTTTAGGTAGATGCAGTGGAGAGTGAACCAAAGAGTTTTATCTTTATGAGTGAAGATGCAATGACAAATCCTGACAAACTGATGGTTTTAATTCATGGTAGTGGTGTTGTTAGAGCTGGACAGTGGGCAAGAAGGCTTATTATAAATGAAGATCTGGACAGTGGCACTCAGATTCCATATATTAAAAGAGCTATAGAGGTAAGGCAATTATTTGGTCTTCTGAAGTATTTTTCATTTTCTCTTCTGGTAATGATTTCTCTTTCCTAATTTATATAAAATCTGTATGTCCACCTGTCTGTTTACTTAAAAAGAACTTTTTGTTTAATAATTCTTAGCTTTCAGGAAAGCAGTTCTTTACTTGTATTGAATATTGTCATTGCAATTGCAGTCTATGGCGCACATAAATCAACCCAATAATCTATTAGAAACTAGTGTTTTCTATTAAGTTTCATTGTTTCAGCTTAAGGCTTTTATTAACTTTATCTCAAGCACAAATTGTTCTTCCTATTAGTATAGGAAGTTGATCCTAGAAGGCACTTGAGTTCCTACCCTTTCAAAATTAAATGCCATTAAGAAAGTTCTATGACGTGTACAAGTGAATGTATTAAAATCAATCAGATTTAGGCAGGTGCTTAACACAAAACATACACTCCTGTTTTCACAATGCTATGATAGAGCTGCTACAAACTACACAGAAATATTCCCATTATTAAATTTAGAGTGTCCTGATTTTAGGGTTGCCTGAATTCCCAGTAGGCCTCAGTTCCTGATAAAACATGTGAAACACTGGTTTGCTTGAAAAATTTTAAAGCTGTGTTTCTAGATTTATTCCAGAAGAAAACATTTAAGCATGACTGGAATGTGGCTCAAAGCCCAGAAAAATAAATGAATGCAGGCAAAGTTTCTCTTTTCTCAAAATTATTTTTGAGATAGTCATTATTTCAGGGACCGTTAGTGAGAATTCACACTAAAATGTGTTACCAGGCTTCACAGAAAGGATTTGCTATTTTCTGTAAAGGTTTCAAAATGATCTGATTTATATAAAATTCAGCTCCTTCCATTGCTTTAATCATTCTAGTCTTTAAATCATGAATAAACTTTTTTTGTGCCAGGAGCAACTTGAGAAACTCAAGTCGCTTCTGGTATGAGACTTGACCATCTGCAAGGTCGTTGCCCAGGGGTCACTTGGATGTTTGATGTTTTACCATCCTTATGGGAGGCTTCTCTCATTTCCCCACATGGGGAGCTGGATCTGACAGAGGGAGCTCAACCTGGTCTCTTCAGGTCTGAATCCCTGACCTATTGGTCAGCAGTCCTGCTAGCACAAGGGTTTAACCCATTGCACCACCCGGGTGTTCCTACGAATACACTGAAAACAGAGATTCTTTGGATGGCATAGGAGACTTAATCCACTCACCAATGAGTTCATCCTCGGGTATCAATAACCAACTAGGCAGGAGTCTACCTTCTTTTTCAGTTTACACTATTCAGACTTTTCCCCTTTCCAAACAGTTTTTTCTTCCTTGTCCTGCCAACCAAATGTGGTTTTCCTGTTCCATGTCATTTAGTGAAATTTAGTGAATAAATAGAATAAGAATTGTAGTGATGGAAAAGAAAATCAGTGACAAAAGTAGGGAGGTATCTGTAGAGAACAAAAAGTGGCACACAAAAATTAAAAATAAGGAAAAATGCATCTCCATGATTGTTGAGTAGGAAATCGGCATATGGGGACAGGGGAGGGATGGCCCCACTCAGGTGATTGCAGCACGGTGTTTTTCTGGGGAAGGAAAGGAAAACAGAATCAAGGAAGGTATTTCAGTCCTTCAGTAAAAATGAGTCAGAAGATTTTAAACAAAACCCTAGAGGAATGCTTTTGATGGATAGTCATTGTGGACAATTTTTATATGACGAAGGTGCTGCAGAGCTGTCATAGAACCAAAGAAAAGGAAAAAAATGGGCAAGTAGCTAACAGTGTTACCTTGAGCTTACAAAGATTGGAGAAAAACTCTGCAGTATTGGCAAAATCTTTGAGGGCACCTTCAAATCACCATTTTGATAAACTGTGTTCTAGGTTGGGAGGTGGGACCATATCAGAACATGCTTCCACAGAGAGGGCATGCTCAGTTTAGCAAGTGTTACCATAACCTGTTATGATGTCAATTCATGAGCACTGGAGCTCTCTCAGGAAGATAGTGTCAGTTACTTGCCTGCGATCAGTGAGTCTCCGAAATTTACAGCATATTCAAAGACAGTGTCTATAGATGCCCACCTTCGATTAAAGGAGCAGGTCAGGCAATGAAGCTTGCAGGAGAGCAGCTGCTAAGTATTTTTGCAACAAGTAGATTGTAGAGCAGGGTTCCTCAAATTAATTTAAATCATCATTCAACTATTAAAACATTTACTTCAACTAAAAATGTAGATGTGATGCTAATGAGAATGATAATGGGCATATCAGCATTATAATTTTTACTATGGGGGAGATTCCAATCTAGGACTTGAAAGAAGATTGTTGATACTCCATCAGCTGGCAATTGAAAAAAATTAAGATGATGTCTGAAAGACACAAATTTGGAGAAGGCTCCCATAGGAACTAGTTTGAATGACAGTAGTTGTGAGCTGGAAGGGCTGGAAGACTCACTGCAATGGTCATTTTACACAAAGCCTTTGGAATGTTTTCAACAAGAGACACAATATAAATTATCTGCAGTTAAAAGTAGTAGAGTTAAAAGTGCCAGAAGCCTAGCAATTCTGAGTTTTGTGGACATGGTCTGAGGTCATCATGTCTTGGTGATGACAGACAATGTGACAGTCAGAACATATATATGGAATTGGAAGGTTTACATTTAATTCTTCTGATTCAAGAATCAAATCAGACTGTTTCAAAGGGCAGAGAAAAATCTAAAGTCAATAATAGTGGTTATCGTTAGGTGAAGTTGAATATTCAGGCAAATTATGTCAGTTGGAACAGGACATATCTAGGGATCTGCTCAAATAACATTTAGATGGTTAGTACTTTAGTCAGTCGTTCCATAAGGTCTAGCCCACTCTGCAATTCGGGGCTTGGGTGAGTACCATTTGTGAGTTAATTGATCCTCCCGTACCATCCTGAAAATGCAGTTGTACTTATCATAAAGGATCATTCAGTGCTGGCCAGGAAAAACAAACAGCACCCTCCATACATGGAAGCATAAGCATTAAACAGTAGAGTAGATTTAGGTAATTAGTAGTTGGACAGATCTTAGTAATGAAACTTTTGGGAAAAGAAAGGTGTCTTAAGAACATTGACTCTTGCCTAGTTGGTTAGCACATCATGATTAATCCATTTGTGAGTGAATTTCAAAAGGAGTTGACGATTGACTCATGGTAGATCACCTACAAATGCTACAAATGCTCAGAGAGAACATATTTTTAGTCACGTGTAGGGCAGCAGCAAAGATAGTGGCAAATGCAGGGATCTGCAAATAATCAAATCCATGAGTGACTAGGCTGCAAATTTGAAGGGATAACTGTATACTGAATACATAAGATTCTCACCTTCACCAAATGTTATATATAAGACAACTCGCCTTCACTAAATGTTATACTGCACTTGGACATATTGTGGGAATTTTCTCCATGGAGTCTATATGCTTATTTGGTTTGCACATCACCTTCCTTCCTACCAAAGTGGCACTGAAGGTAGCAGATCCACTGAAGATACGGATATGCGCAATGAGACATCCTATCAGTTCCTGTTCTTTCTCTGCCTCCTAAAACACAGAGCCACACACATCCAGTATATCCACATTAATCACATGAATTATGTTTTGGTTAAGTAAGAAAAGAAAGTTTTCACATCCAACATTTAAGTATACAAATTTCAGTAAGACTGCTGCCATTAAATAAATCATACAGCAAACTACAACAGATTACACCACAAATAAGAATGCGAAGACCTTGTGAACATGCTATGTTATTTGTTGAGCAATATTATAATGAAAATTTCATTCGCATCCCTCATCTGAATTCTGGCTAATTACAATCAAATATTCAGATTATAAAATGAATCTCCCATATCAAATTATAAAAAGTATGTTTCACAGTAGCATTTATTAGTAATATGTTATACCTGACTGTTAAATATGAATTGAATGTCTTATAACCAAATGAGTATTACACTGAAACTTCGTAAAATTTAATGTATGTGCATCATAAATTTGCTTAAGCTCAGTCAATGATTGCTTAAGAAACAATGAGAGTGAAGGTTAAATGCTTGAAGTAATGTTATATTGACAGACTTTATAAGCCCATACTAGACCCATGCCAACAAAGGAAAACAATGAGATGACAGCTCTAGTGTTTGGAGAGAGGTTGTTAACGACAGCGTATTCCTTTATGATTTCAACTCTTGACAGAGGACAGATCTGCTTGTTGCATCATGGCAGATGTATCATTACCTTCTGGCCTTGTTATGACTGAATTGGAATAAACCCGCTTGCAGTTCTGAAAATCCAATTACTTTGTGGAAGTTTGGATCTTCATGTGTGGATGTGTATAAGCTTCATTGCAGTAGCATTTCTTGAATTCTAATAGTGACCCAAAGTTTCAAATTTCAAAGATTACAAATGAATTCAAAACATGGTGTGTCCTGGTTTTGATAGATTATAGTTTCCTACCAATATTTTACTGCTGTTCTACATCTGCCTCATGAAATTACTGTTATGTTTTCCTTGAATATACGTGTTTATTTTATTTTACTTGTTTACACACTACATAGACTGTTACTATTTTAGTCCTTGCAAATGTACTTAAAAGTATCTACAATATTGTATGTTTTATGCCTTTCTATTGCATATTAGGGTCTCTTTGGTTAGCTCATATAGATATTAGAATTCTGTTTTTCCCTCACTCTAACTTGTGGGATACCTCCTAGAGACTCTAGAGATTAGACAAGAGAGAAAGGAGGTGTGGATTTATGAAAGTATGTCAAAAGCCTTGGGGTTTTGGTATGATCAGAATTTCAATAGAGGTTGAGATGAGTTTAAATACATAGAAGGCAAGCATAAAAATCTTGTTTAATTTCTGTCATATTGTTCTTTTTTAGTCACTCTGATGTCTTTTTCAAATCTGCTTTTCTCTCCAGCTTTGTGCTACCACATCCAAGATCTATGTCCCTTCCCCCACGCCCTTTGTATTTCGTTTTAACTGCTGATCCCCTT